TAAAACAGAAATAAAAGGAAGTGATGAGACTTACTCAAATCAAAGGTGAATGGACATGTATATAATTGCCATGGGAGAGAGAGGATATCCACCAGAGGAAGATACAACCAGATCGTGCAGATAATGAGCAACAAAGGTATTGGGAGTAGTCCACATTCCAGGATGGACAATCTCCTCTAACAGACGGTAAAGACAATAGGCAAAAGATATGGTGATATGACGAATATGATGTGAAGAAATGTTGTGGAGATGGTGACCTTCCATGGATAAGTTTGAATACACCAGCCTAACGAGTGAACGAAGCCAATCAGTCAACATGACAGGAGATAGATTATGGCAAATGGAAGGGTTCCTGGAATTAAAGTCTGGAACTTGAACTCCAGAAGGAGGCAGGATGTGCCACATAACACCGTAAGAACAAAGTGGACAAATAAGTTGATCAGGATCAGAATGGAAGTACTGGTGGGAGGTGGAAGTTAAGGAAATGGATGTGAAAGCCAAACAGCTTTCACAGGCAGCATGGGTCAGAGAGGAAGGACCAGTTGGGATATAGTATGACATAAGAGGTATGGTAGACAAAGCAGGTAACATTAAAGGCAGAATTATCTGATTGACAATGTCTGCAAGTAAGGATGATAAGGGAGAGAAGGTAAAAGGGAGGATGGGAAAGCCATAAAGGACCACATTAAGATTCCAATCAAGGAAATCAAGGTATGTGGAGGTTGCAGGACTCAAAAGAAGCAGAAAAAGACAGGAAATGTACAGGGAAGACAAAACTAGAGAAAACCTGGAGAAATGGAAGGTGTTCAACAAGACTGCCTGATAGCAAGACACGGACAAAGTGGACAAACCTTTGAAGAATAGGGAAAGATGAGGAACGGAAGAGTGGGAAGGATGGAACCAATGTGAAAAAGACTAAAGGCAGAAAGTATACCACTGCCTGTGATAAATGAATATGGAAGACAGTCTAATAGATCGGAAAAGGAAAGATACAAAATATGGTGTCAGTCCCTGGACTAAGACAATGGACCCGACAAAAGCCATGCATGAAGACAGAGGGTGGAAGACACCAGGATGAACAATGTCTGACTGAGGTCGATAGAATAGGGACTGAGACAGAGGTAAGAGTAAGGGAGGTTGTACAAGGAAACGTCGAAGTAGTGGGAAAGATGGTTGTGCTGGCCAAGACCCAGAGTGGTTTGGAATAAGGATAAAACTCGGGAGAGGAGTCAAATAGGAGGGTAAGTATAGATGGAAAGACCCCCTCTAATCTAGAAAGAATGTAACCACCGTCAATGTTAGTGGGTGAGGAACAGGAGACCAAATGGAAGAATGTTTGGCATTCCAGTGGGTGACGAAGGTATATATGAGGTGTCCCCAGCTGAGAACACACTCAACTAAAGAACTGTGGATCGAGTGACCACTCCATGAGGAGAATCTTGATGGGAGGAGATAAATGCTCCATCTCCAGATTCAGGGAGCCAGGAAAAAGGCTAACTAAGACAACACAATGTGGTGACTGTGGGCCAAGAAAGGAGATCCAGGATCTAAAAACACAGAAACCTGGAAGTGGTACCCACTGGCTCTGATATAAGTGACCATTGTGGAGACGTAGAAATGTATCATAACCACCCCACTTGTAGGAGAGGAAGTGTAGTTCTTGGACTATGAACGGGAAGCTAGAGCCAGTTATCCATAGAAAGAAGAGTGCAAAGACTCATAGATTGATAATGTCGGGCAAGAGTTTGTATCCCCCTCTTACAAAACACTTAGAGCCGAGGTTAGTCCGACCAGTAGAGCCCTGAACTAGAAAACTTGACTTGGAGCAATAAATAACAATCAGTGAAGTGGGCACTGTGAGAAAGAACTTTAAATTGTAGATTATGAGAAGAAGACAAGATTTCTAGTCTCAGGAATGTAGGAAAAGGAGCCAAAGAAAAGCTCAGCCCTATGAACGGGAAAGAAATGAACCCATCAGCAATGTAACAGAGCAAAAAAATTAAAGTTTTACATGGACAAAAATTAGGATGATAAGGCACATACATAAAAATTATGAAAAAATTCAGATAGAACAATGAATTATATATTAGTAGTAGTAATGATATGTAACATACAAATTATCTATTTTCACAACGTACACTCACGAGCAAATCGCGAGTAGCCGATGCATCATGTAATTCGATAGGTGACTTATAACTTGTGTAGTGGGAAGTTTAGTTAGACACAGTTCAAAGAGCAATAACACAATAAAATTTAAGTAGAAAAAGATGTATATCGTTACAAGTTTAAAGCTATTTAGGATAAACAAATTTAGTTTCATGCTACAATTTAAAGTCATTCTTGAAAGAAAGAAGGGTAACTTCAATTGATTTCGTACTTTTTATGGTGGTTACAAGATTGGTTAGATTTACTAACCTCGTATAGAGTTAGGGTAGAGAAAATAACAGATAAAATATAAAGTTTTACTGAAAGAAAATGTTTGAAAATTATTTAAGAGGTTTTAGAGATTAAGCAAAAAAAATTTTAGATTTTTTCAGATGAAGAAAAGTATTTCTAACCTTAACATGAAAATCACTTTGCACTCAGAACAGTCAATACTTTGAATACATATACTTGTAGAAAAACTTTTAGTGAAAATACTTCATTAAAAGTTCTGATTTTTTGCCTATAAAACACTCTTACTGATTACTGAAAGTTTGCAAAATTTCTTGAAAATACAAAAACATATTAGAAGTTATAATATGGAAACTATAAAGATCAATTTAGGGTCAAGATTTAGGTTGAATTGACCAACACCATTGCAAGAGAGTTAATTATTTAAGTTTTAATTAGAATGTTAACTTGTACTAACTTAGACTCAGAAGTTAGTTATCATATTTTAATACTAATACAAAAAATGTGATTTAGTTTTGATAACCTTTCCACACCTCATAAAACAATGCAGTTTTAGGATTAAGGTTCACAACATTTTATGGTGAAAAACAAGCAATGGAAGAAAATACTAATCAGGTTCATTAGCAGAGTATGCAATAATACACACAAATAGGAACAAGTATTTTTAGAGTAAGTTCTGATCTTCAAACTACTCAAGAAGTAAAACCGTATTCATGTGTGAATGTCAAGATCAAGGGCAAAGTCACAATTATTACAAAATGCAGTTTAACTGTTTAGCTACTAAAATTTTATGTCACCTGAATTGTTAAAATTTCTCTCAGTTAGTGGAACAATGTCTAAGCAACCAAATATGTTGATCAAATTTTAATGAAAAAATATCACCTTAATCAAAACAACTAACAATAATACTATAAAATTATATCTAGAACATTGAACTAAATGTTTAAAGAGCAGATATATATTTATTTCCTTAAGTTTCTAATGTAAGCAACTGATACTTTGTTTTCTTCTTGGTTTATGTTAAATATTTCAAAACATATAATAGCTCAAAAGCTGATAATAATGACTTAACATGATTAAACTTTACTTGCTATGTTACAATAAAACTGTTTTAGGAATTATCTTGATTGCTTTTTAACTATAACAGCTCTATAATAGAAATCTACCTTTGGCTTTTCTGAATCTATGGGAACTGACAGTTTTGAAGGTTTCCTTTCTATTGTAAGTGGTTCCTTTTCCTGCCTAACAGCAGAATTCTTAGTTAAATATAACTCAGAGTCACCTTCAAATATTGCATAATAGTCAGTAATAAAGTATCCAATCACTTGATTAGTTACTGATTGATCTTTTAAACCTTTCATGTCATCAGAGAACCTGCAAAACAAATACCAAAGGATTTTAAAGTATAAAAGTATGTAAAAAACTGTAGAGATAAACATAACTGGAATTTCACATAAAATATTGATTCCTGTTATTGTACAAGATGTTTGTAAATTTCAGAGGTATAGCAATACATCTGATTTTTTCTGTCAAACATTAATTTAAAACAAAGATTTACTTCAGATAAAGAAGGAAATTTTAATTGAATTCTAATAGTGTCAGTAAAATTAATTCTTAATTTCTAACTTTGATTCAAATAGAATATTAAGTTCTTAATTGCAAGACTAACAACAAATTGATTTCTCAAATCAAATACTGATTTCAGATATTACAGAAAATGTTCATTAAATTCAACAGATACCAATGCAGCTGATCTTTTAGATCTTTCCTGACAGATTTCTTTAAAAAATAAAAACAGATTTAGTACCAATTTAAAATATTTGTGCAATCTTAGGAATAGCAAACCTAACTGTGTTTTGGAAATTTTATGTTAGAAAATCTACTAAAATACATGTAAATTTTAGTAATACAATAATGTGAAATTTTTGTAATTATATCACAAGTGGTCTATCAAAGCTTTCATGTTAACAAACTGACATATGACAGAGAGAGGTTTCTATACCAAAAAGTACTTTTAACATTTTTAGAATTAAAATGAATTTCAAGTAGGTACTTTTCTCTGAAATACTGAAAGTTTTACATTCTTGAGTAATGTAAATTTCCAAATGCCCTTTATGCATTACATAGCAAGCATTACTTACTCATAATTCTCCACATTCCCATCTTCCATCTGATTTATTAAACAAGCGTCATGAATCTAACATAATCTCTGCATTCCCACCATAATTTAAATTTTATTGAAAAAATGCAGAAGTGATAACAAATGGTTGTGGGGATATGAGGGAAGGCATTTCAGAGGTAGGTACCCATCCAGAATTAATTTAAACTCTAAATATATAAATTTCAAATCAGGTAAGCTTTGCTCTGAAATAATGAAAACCAGAATACTCACATTGGAAAGGAAGATGGAACCAATGAATGAGAAAAAAAACAAAATATAAAAGTACAAGTTACAGGCAGAAAGAATAATATTTAACTACAAGAAGTACATAACCCAGCAGAATCAGAGTAGAATCCAGAACCAGACAATAATTCACAGAACTGGATTCATCAAAGAATGTGTGGGGTGGAAGTCTTATAAAAAAAAAAGTGCACCTAAAGGATTCTCAGAAAGAAGGCATATTTCTCAAGGTACTTATTCAACCATGATTCTTTTTAATCCAGGCAAAGTGGTTGGTTTTATGAGCAGTAATGGTGTATTGAATCTGTAAAGCCAACTATGGGCCATAGAAGGTTCTCCGATGACCAACTCAAAATGTATTATGAAATGTTTTACTCCATACATAGTAGCCCCTCTTCATCCACATCTTAAAGGCCAGTGAGTCACTCAAACCAACTAAATTAGTCACTGTTCATGAAGAATCAAAGAAGCATCAAAAGCAGTCTCAAAGCATAAGCTAAATAACATGAGGACAGGGCAATGTGAACAGAAAGAAAGAAATAAGAATAAAAACATAGATGATCCACATCCTGGTTGCAGCTAATATATCTAGTGGTGACAGTAGTCTTGTTTCTGATCTCTAATGCCATGCATATGTTGGTGGGAAAGGTGCCTACAAAAGTATCATCAGCCACTAGAATGCACCTCTGTTCACTTTCAAAGCGTAGAAGGTAGAATTTTTGCCGAGGACATAAGAAGAGGTAAACATGACATGTGGGAGTTCCAACGGCTTTTTTGTTACATATAATTTCATAATCTTAGATATATTTAGATTTGTAGTGGTTAGGCAACATAAAATACTTGAGTTGCCTTGAACAAATGCAGAGGTTAAAGAACATGCGAGAGTCCTTACTGGATGGATCAATGAAAATAAAGTTTCTTAGCTGTTTAACTATAGCATCTTACTTATTTTGTATTATTTGGTTTGAAGTCAAAAGTATTCACAATTTCAGACACTCTGAAGTGGTATACAACAGATGTTGGGCAGAATATACAAAAACTCACAAGAGATTGATTCCATCAAGCCTGAAGAAGAACCATAGGTGAAAATAGGTATCCTGAAACTGTAGATAAAATGAAGGCAAAATAGCAAAAAAAAAGTATGCAGATTCAATCCCATGCACTCTTGTAAGATGTCTGCTAAAGAGTACAGAGACAAGAAGGCCAAAGACATAGCCAAAAGGCAAACTGGATGAGATGTAATTTGAAATCCATAATAAAAAAGATGCACATGTCAATTCATTAATGTGGATTGAGCAAAATCTGTGGAACAAGAATCGTCATAAAATATAAAAAAAAACAATGTTCATTACATTACCTCAAAAAGATTCCATTCTTGCAAAAATAAGATGAAAGTCTTGACCAGATCTAGAAAATGTTCATCACAAGGAAAATCAGGGTCAGTCAGAGTAGGTAACACAATAAGGGTAAAAGAGCTGTGGCCATCTCTCACAGCCCAAGTCTCTGGTAGAAAGGCTCTATCAGGATATAAATATTGAGCCTTTTTAGAAAAAGTAAATGTTATGAAAAAATAGGCCTGAACACCTTCCAGAAGCAAGTAACAAAATAAAATATAGTTTCAGGGAAAGACGGTATAGTTAACAAGTTGTGAATGGTTCAACTGGAGAAGCCAGGCAACTTAAGACCAGCATTAAGTCTCTCTGAGGACAATGTCTAACCACTTGTGGAAAACATAATAGAAAAAAAACTCCAAAGAGCAGTCCAAACATCTAACAGAATGGCACAAGAATGAGCTATCTGACAAGACTACAGACCCTAAAAATAACAGAGGG